CGGGCCGGGCCGCCCGTGGCCATGTCTGAACGTCCCTGTTACTTCGCCCTTTGTTTCAATCAGATAAGGGCCCCCACCGTTCAATCCGACGGTCAACCTTCACTCTGGACACGTGTCCTCATCCCACACGCAGATCCAAACACTGGTTAGGACTTCACCTTGCCCCAAAAGTGGCACCACCTATAAAAAAACACACAGAAAAAAGTCCTTATCTTCTCCACAAAGTGCTTCTCTCAATTCCACCTCACAGAGCCTCTCTCTCTCTCTCTCTCTCTCTCTCTCTCTCAGATCCTGCGCTTGAAGTTACCATTTTCGGTCCTCCCATGGCGTATTCTTTCCCGGAGGAAGTGCTGGAGCACGTGTTCTCGTTCCTGAGCTCCGACCGGGACCGTAACGCGGCGTCGCTGGTGTGCAGGTCGTGGTACGAGACGGAGCGGTGGTGCCGCCGGCGCATCTTCGTCGGGAACTGCTACGCCGTCTCGCCGGACGTCGCGATCCGGAGGTTCCCGGAGGTGAGGGCGGTGGAGCTGAAGGGGAAGCCGCATTTCGCGGATTTCAACCTCGTGCCAGAGGGGTGGGGCGGTTACGTGCGCCCGTGGGTCGAGGCGATGGCGGTGGGCTACCCGCAGCTGGAGGAGATCAAGCTCAAGAGGATGGTGGTGACGGACGAGTGCCTGGAGATGATCTCAAGGTCGTTCAGGAATTTTAAGGTTTTGGTGCTTTCGTCGTGCGAGGGGTTCACTACGGATGGGCTCGCGTCGATTGCGGCCAATTGCAGGTTATTACTTCGAAAAAAAATCGAGTCTTTAAAGTTTTATGTTGGAAAAAAAAGGGAAGAAAGTTTGGATTATTGAGCTGTGAGAAGTAAAAAATAATTGAAGAAAAAAGTAAAAATTTGGAGGGGATTAGTTTAAGTTGGAAGAAATTCAGGGTTTTTAGCTACTATAAGTGATAATGATTGAAAAAAAGGTTCATTTTTGGAGGGGAGAAGTTGAAGTGTAAATAAACTCTGGGTTTTGAGCTATTATAGATTTAGAACTGAAAAATAATTGGATACATGTACAAATTTGGAGGGGATTAGTTGATGTTGAATGAATGTCTGGGTTATGAGCTATTAAAAGTGAAAAATTTATGAAGTTGTATTCGGGACAGTTTTTGCAGTGAATGTTCATACTTAGCAACTATTGATCAGATCTTTACCCTTTATCAAATTCATTGTATAAGAAAGATCTAATCTTTTCTCCCTTCACATCTCTGGCTTGTCGAAATCGGAATATCTGTCGAAATCTACCATTTCATTATTCATTTGAACATCCAATAATCGGGGCATATTATTTTCAATACAGGAACCTAAAAGAGCTCGATTTGAGGGAAAGTGAGGTTGAAGATCTTAGCGGGCACTGGCTCAGCCATTTTCCTGACGAATACACTTCTCTCGTCTCACTCAACTTTTCCTGCTTGAGCTCTGAGGTCAGCTTCTCGGCTTTAGAACGCTTAGTCTCGCGATCCCCTAGTCTAAAAACCCTCCGCCTAAACCGAGCCGTGCCTCTCGATAAGCTAGCCAATCTTCTTCGCCACGCGCCTCAGCTGGTCGAGCTCGGCACCGGCGCTTATTCAGCTGATTTCCGGCCCGATACATTTTCGAGCCTAACAAAAGCATTCTCATCCTGCAAGAATCTTAAGGGTCTTTCCGGTTTTTGGGATGTGGTCCCGGCTTATCTGCCGGCCGTTTATCCTGTGTGCTCTCAAATCACATCACTAAACTTGAGTTACGCCACGATTCAGTGTTCGGATCTCGCGAAGCTCGTTACTCAGTGTCGAAATCTGCATCGTCTCTGGGTAAGACATAACTTATATCGATGGATCTCTATCTAATTTTTTCATGCCGTGATTGATTTGGCCTTGATCGGGTTTTTTTTAACCATAGTTAATTTTCCAACAGGAAGTTGGATGTTGGTGGTTTAAATTAAAGTATTAGTTAAAATAAAATAATTAAAGTTGATTTGATGGTAAAGTAGGAGAAAAATGATTGGATGTAATGGTTTGTTAAAATTATGTAAATGAATGAATAGTGAATTAAGCTGCTCTTGGTTAATATTATTTTATTATACTGATAATATTGTACCAGTGGATTTGGGTTAAAAGTTAGAGTTAAATTTGAGTTTTGATTTTTTTTTTCTTTGCTTGATTTTATAACCAAGCACACCCTAAACGAGCAATATCATTTTATGGCTTGGAACAGGTTCTTGATTACATTGAAGACAGTGGCCTCGAAGCAATATCCGCCTCGTGCAAAGACCTAAATGAGCTTCGGGTCTTCCCGTCAGACCCTTTCGGAGCCGAGCCAAACGTCTCCCTAACCGAGCGGGGACTCGTCTCGATTTCCGCCGGCTGCCCGAAACTCGAGTCGGTCCTCTACTTCTGCCGCCAGATGTCGAATGCAGCTTTAGTTGCCATATCCCGCAACCGGCCGAACCTAATCCGGTTTCGACTCTGCATAATCGAGCCGCAGGCCCCCGACTACCTCACGCATGAGCCTCTCGACTCGGGTTTTGGCTCGATCGTCGAGAACTGCGGGGACCTCCGGCGACTCTCGATGTCGGGCCTCTTAACGGACCGAGTCTTTGAATACATTGGGGCCCACGCCAAGAAACTCGAGATGCTTTCGGTGGCTTTTGCTGGGGATGGTGATTTGGGCCTGGCCCACGTGCTATCGGGCTGTGTGAGCCTGCGGAAGCTCGAGATAAGGGATTGCCCATTTGGGGACGAGGCCTTGCTGGCGAACGCTGCCAAGCTGGAGACAATGCGATCCCTTTGGATGTCGACATGTGGCGTGAGTTTCGGTGCGTGTAGACTGCTGGGCCAGAGAATGCCGGGCCTGAATGTGGAGGTTATTGACGAGAGGGGCCCACCGGAGTCGAGGCCCGAGAGCTGCCCAGTCGAGAGGCTGTACGTCTACCGGACGGTCGCCGGGCGGAGGGGGGACATGCCGGATTTCGTTTGGACGGTGGACGAGGATGATTCGGCTATGGGATTTTCGTGAGAGACGATAGGGTAAATGATATTACTAGTTCTTGGTAAGTAAAAAGAAGGAACATAAATCTAAACTGAGAAAAAAAAAATTACTTTTATGTGAATGCAGTAGTCCAGGTGAAGGTGATATTGTGAAGTGAAGGGATGTCGAGCCAGTCGAGGAGGAGGCGGTCGTCTAACTGTTGAAACAGCCCGATCTAGTACTTTGTTATTTTCCATGTTTTCATTGCCTTGGCTGAGGTACTTATTTAAGTGCAGTTCAGTTGGTGTAATAAAAGACAGTTTAATGATTTTTAAGTTATCATTGGAGGTGATTATGTTGGTATACTTAGGTTTTGTCAATCAATTTGGTACTCTGATAAGCTCCATCATCTTCTTTTTCTTCTTCTGTGTAGCTGCGGACAATTTTTCACTTGATCTGTAGAGATGATTTTAAGTCAAATGGTTGTTATGAAATATTGACTATAATCATAATCATTTTTTATTTTTTTTATTTTTATTTATTTATTTTGCTTCCTCCCCAAATTTGGGCCGAGTTTTGG